AAGTCTGATTTTATGAACATCCCTTCAAAAATAGTTTATAAGAACAAAGACCTCCATCACACCTTATCGYTAATGCTTTTAATGAATATTTTTCTGGTATTGGTAAACATTATGCTTCTTCTATCCCAAACATTGATATATCTCCATTGGATTATTTGAAATCTCCTTTATCTTCCAGTTTCTTTATTGCACCTRTGACTCATTTAGAGATTGAACAAGAGATAAATGACCTTAAACTTTCTAAGGCAAGTGGTCTATCCTCTATTCCAACTAGGGCTCTTAAAATTATCGCACCATTTATATATAAACCACTAGAATTGATATTCAATTGTTCATTATCTACTGGAATTGTGCCCAGATAAATTAAAAATTGCTTGTGTCATTCCAGTCTATAAAAATGGGTCTAGAACCTCAGTCAATAATTATCGACCAATCTCCTTGCTTTCTGTATTTAACAAAATTCTCGAGAAATTAGTGTACAAAAGACGCGTTAGTTTTATTGATAAAAATAAGCTTTTAAATAAAAATCGATTTGACTTTAGACCAATGCACTCCACTACTCATGCTGCTTTGCTAATTGTAGATAGGTTGAAAAGGTCCTAATAAACGGACGAAACTAGTCCCTAAACTACAAGAGTTTGCCTAATGGTCGTGGGTCGTGGGTCGTGGGTACGAAGTCGTGGGTCGTGGGTATGAAGTCGTGGGTTCCAATTTTTTCCCCAAATTTATCATTTCTTCACTATACTTCCAAATCGAGATTGTGTAGATTTGTTCCTATAAATTCGGTGCAATTGTGGGTTGTGCAAGGAAGTCTGTGTCTATTTGGTCTTTAAATATGGGCAGAAACTAAAGCACGACTTTTAGGGTGCTTTTCAATGCCTTGGTATTACAAAGGACTATTTGACTTTAAATAGAGAATGCGCAGGATTGAAATCAGGGTATATTTCAAGTATTTAGTTCACTAATATGTTGTTCAACGTCACGCAATTCGGACACAAGGTCTTTAATCAAAAAGGTGTTGACAACTCTCAATTTGTTCAAGTAAACACTTGACGCTGTTTTGGACTGCTGCTTGTCAAGAGCTTTTGCCACTTTAACCAAAACAAAAGACCGACCGAAGACGTCCAAAC